GCTCTAAGAGCAAGAGCAATGAATTGTGATTTTTCAGTTGAAACAACAAAATAAACACATTATCATTATTTTGTTTAATATTTAACACATAGAATTGTGTTAAACGTAGTATTTTTTCAAAACATCACTAGATATGAAAAAGTTGTAAATAAAGTTGATCCTTGTGTGAGCCCTATAATTATTTACTTTGCCAAAAACTAATATAATGGTAACTGTAATACTTAAAAAACATTGAACAGGTAAAATATGAATATTATTGTTAACAATGGTGACCTTTGCATTAAAATGGCGTTTTAAGGTCAGAAATATATAATTCTTCACCATTATTGTTTTTAATAAAAATGACCACACACAAATAGAGTATCAAACATATCAATAATAAAGTTTCCTCCTATTTCGTATACTCGCTGCTATTATTTGAAAAAAATGATGGTCGATCCTTGGGGCAAGCCGTTTAGCCCTTTCGTGTCACCTTTTTTACTGCAGACAAGTAAAAATGAATAGTCAATGAACCAATCTATAATGACTATGGGTCACTTGATAGTAACCTACCTCAACATCAGTTTATGGGATTTTCTGGAGTTTTGGCGCACACTAAAATCCCCCGTTCCTGCCATTCTAGTAGCACCATGTAATGGGTGCAATTCTAAGTGAGAGAGAGAGATATATCTATGAACATCAGAATGCGTCCATCCCATTAATTTGGCCAAATACATGGCATGAAACTGGCGTAAGCTTAACTTGGTACGACCCCCTTTCTCTGGTAAATTATGACTAGGCCTATATTTTTCGGAGTAATGGGTTTCTGACAACTGGGGTGTACCCTTTAGCTTCTTACACTGTATATCACAAGATAATCACAATTACTTAGGCTCGGGGATTGTTACAATTTTGAAAATTCGCGGAGGTCAAAGCCGACATTTGCAGGACATTGCGGGACACGCGAATTAGCCAAATTTTGATCAAATTCTCGGGATAATCCCGCCATTCGCGGGACACTTGACAGCTCTGTACACAATAATGGTAAACTATTATGATAATGTTTTACAATAGTACTTAAGGCTAATTAAGAAAGTCAAAAATTATATTTGAAACTTATACAGCAAAACAGTCCTGGAATCAGATACTTAATAATATCAGCGGACTTCAAGCTGGATATCGATATATGGTCACAGGTCTTGTTCCGATATAGTCCGAATACTGAAGATTGCGTTGGAGTAAATCTTAATGTCACTTCTGGGTTAGGTACTCCGACACGGCAAACGTACAGGGTGACCCAAAAAATGCAACCCTCCATTTCTTCAATAGTTTTCTTAAATGCAAGTTAATTGTTCTGAAATTTGGCACACGAGGACATCATTCAATGTGAGATCATCTGGCAAAGTTTCAATAATCATAGTCTCATGTTGATAGAGTTATGGCCATTCCAAAATATGCTCCAAATGTCGTCCATTTCCAATGTTAGGTTTTCGGATGAATCACATTCCCTTCTTTCTGAACATGTAAACTCAAGAAATAATGTGTTCTGTGATCACAAATTCCAGATGAAGTGCTTCAAAGGCCCCTTCATTCTGTTAAATGCACAGCTTGGGCTGCAAATTTCCAAACATGAAATCATCAGCCCCTTTTGGTTTGAGGTTGATAATGGCAACACTGTTACTGTTAACACACAGTGCATTATTGGCGTTCCCAGGAAGTTCTAGGCAGTTCTAGAGTGACATTGAGGCTTCAGTAGACAAGAACATTGGTTCTAGAAGGATGGAGCTACTCCTAACACTTCTAATGATAGCATAGCCTGGTTCACTAGTCATTTCTATGAGAAGATTATCTCTCCTAGGACGGAGAACCCATGGTCATCCCATAGTCTTGATCTCAATGCCCCTGACTTCTATATATGGGGTAATTTAAAGGATAATGTGTATGAAAATATCCCTACCACAATTGCAGAACTCCAACAAGCAATGGCTGCAAAAATATGAGCCATACTCATGGGGAAGAATGCATCCGTATAATGAACAGTTTTCCTTGAACATTGCAAGTTTGTTTTCAGCGAAATTGATGACATCTGGAGCATATTTTGAAACAACCATAACTCCATCAATATAAGACTATGATTATTGAAACTTTGCCAGAGGATCCCACATTGAATGATGTCCTCGTGTGCCAAATTTCAGAGCAATTAACCTCCATTTAAGAAAAATATTGAAGAAATGGAGGGTTGCATTTTTTTGGGTCACCCTGTAGTATAAAGCTACTTTCGAGAACTTAGTCCACTCTCAAATCCCCAAAAAATAATCGTCTCAAAAACTATGAATAAATTGAGCAAAAACTCTACTATGTGTCAATGAAATAGAAATGTCTAAAATACAACTGTGAAACTACTGACCAAGTTGTTTTAGATATGTGCTTCAGATATTTTAAGAATCAAGGATATAAATACAAATATGAATCCACAGAAATGATGCATTTCTGAGATAACAAATAGTGTTATTTTACTGTTGCTATAGCAACGGATAAATATTTTTATTTTTTGTCTTACAGATTGAACATCATACTAAGAATACTTCCTGCAAATTTCAAATCAATATCATAATTAGTGTCTGAGATATAAAGGCGTCTTATATATAGTACCCCCTATAGATTTTATTAAGGGGGTATAAGAAATGCTCTGTAGGGAGTTGTCCAAGGGTGCCGCTCCGGCATTACGGGGTTTTGAGGTCCCAACCCTATATTTATGCTGAAAAGTTAAAAAAACATTGTAATCCGAAGAAAACGATTGATCCTCAAAATACCCCATATTTCTTCCAGACTAGTACTAAAGGCACTTCTTTATTTATTATACAGTGGAAGATACTCCAAAATATGCAAATGGTGTTTATCTTAAGAAGTGCAACATAGAGCAAAATGACAAATGTAAATTTTGTAATGCTAGAGATGACTCAATGCATTATTTTGTGAAGTGTCCAGTCATAAAAAACTTATGGGCCAATTTGAATTGATATGACAAAAAGTATTAAAATTAATCTAAAAAACGCAGGTTTTACCGTATATGTATACGGTAGTTTTGAAATGTTTATCTCTGATCTTTTAGAGTATAAACCTAGAATATTTAAATGTCCCTCTTTCAGAAAACTCCGTCTCAAGTGTAGAAGGGTAAACTTTTGAAATTACATAAGATATGCTTACTAAAGAGAAAGTTGCGGCATACATGTTTAATATTAATTTTTTCTTGCGCCTCGAATAATTATACGTAATTATATGTAATTCGAAAGGTGTTAATACCATGATACTGATACAGTTGCTTCCCGGTGAATCACATCAGGGAATATAGCTGATTTGATTGATCCGAAAATGGCTATCGCCCCATTGCAATACATGTACTTGTACTAGTCGTTCCATTATTTTATTCTTCGACAATTTTAAATTGTAATTGAATTTAAACTTAATGTTTAAATATATTAATTAATTACGTTTCAAAACTGTCGTATACAAATATGGTAAAACCTGCGGACAAGGAACGGTGGTCAAAATTGTTTCTTGTCAACAGATATTTGCCACAGAGAGGCTGCATGTTTTAGGCCAGCCCCAAACACTATTGTTGTGTCGTAAGACGATGCTTACAACTGATATTCAAGTTTCTTCCTATTTGCGCCATTTTCGAATTCAACGGATGGCTGATGGATTAACATACTAATTCATGTCAAACTCACTCAAATATGCATGGAGTATTGGCGAGACGGGTAATATTCATATTAAAATGAATTGGTCATGACATAGTAGCTACACGCGGTCCTAACTTCGACTGTTAATTTGAATTTTTGACCTACCGGATGTTTGAAAATCAAGGATTACGAGTCTCATACTGCACCATTTTTTCTTCAAACTTGTTCCATTCAAAGCATAACAAAAATCCCTTTCTGATGGTACATTATTCTCTTAAACAGAGTCCCTACTTCCAGCGGCATTTTGGTCCCCAGCTGTAGGAAGGCCTTCTAACAGCTGTGGACCAAAACGCTGCTAGAACGATTTTCAAGCATCTGGAAGGTCGAAAATTCAAATTAACGATTGAAGTTAGGACCGTGTGAGTTAAACCACCAGCCGAACACTGAGATATTTTAGTAATGGCTCGCTATTTGAAATATAACTGAGAAGTCCATTTGAAAGTTGAACATTTTTATACAATATAACATACTAGTCGTTTGTATATACCCCAAATCCAATTCCTCCTAGTAATTAGCATAGGCCTATTTTTATTCCATATGTTTTCCAAAAGAAATGATAGAAAATGAAAACAATACAAAGTAATCGTATTGACAGCTGAAATATATAAAAATCGAAATGATAGGAAAAATGTATGGACATGTGTACGGAATGATCACATTCATCTTGTTTTATTTTCCCGAGAATTTTGAACTAGTCTTTTTCTGTGCTGATTTGTTAAAATAAAGATTAAAAATTAGATTTTTGAGTTTGATCAATGGTTTATATCAAAAGAATAAAAATATTAACCATAATAAGTGGGTGGGGCAGATGAGTAATGCGCATGCGCAACAAAGCATTTTAAGTGCAGTGTATTGCTTTGTTAGGGTTGGATAAAGCCAGTGTTGACACAATTTTTTCGCTAACCTTCGTTACAAAAATGCTTCGTTAGACTAAACCCAGCAGTGTAACAGGTACCATTGTCTATACCGAATGAATAGCAGCTCAAAGAGCTCATTGTAATATTTTTGTAAATTTCTTTGTTTTTGTATATGAGTTAAGTCTAATAAATTTTAAATAAAAACAAAACAAAACAATATTGTTAAGGAATGTTTTATTAAGGGATATATAATTGAATTGGCAAGCTGGTATGTTTTAACATATATATACCATATGATATTCATCTTTAAACTCTGGTATTCGTTTTCCGGCCTACCCTATACATGTAGGACTAGGACCAATACACTGGATGCCTGTATATCACCCTAGGAGAGGGTTAATCTTTTTTTTTAATATTCCAGAGTTGGCAAGACGAAAGGATACTGTACTTATAACATTGATTCTAGAAGAAGACTATGCAGACAATCAGTGTAACATGTGTAACAGTGTCATTAATACGGTTTCTCTTCTGTACACTGATACTTCTATCATGGCAAGGTAAGAAGACATTTTATCGAAAACATCTATTCTGATCATAAATCTGACGAACCGATAAGTATATTTATCTGAAGAATTCTTTCACACCGTTCTTTCACCATATGTGTACAAACTGTTGGGTTTTATTTAAAAGCAAGTTTTATTAAACTGGTATATTATCTTCCTTTCAGCATATGCGTGTACAAATTGTTGGGTGTTATTTAATAACAAGTGTTACGCCTTTACTGAATCTTTAAAGAGATGGGCTGACGTAAGATCCTTTTGTCAGCAATTCGGAGACGATGGTGATATGCTGGTCATAAAATCTCTAGCAGAATTGGTAAGAACAAATATTGGCTTTTATTCCATAGTTAGCATGATATTCATAGGACGTAGGATAACATGTGAAAATAAAAATGGTATTTTTGTAATCAGTGGTAAAATTATGATATTTTTGACAAATTTTCACTTAACCATAGCATACGTTTTTTTAGCCATGACATACGACACCGTATGCGATGGTTAATGGATTTTTGCTACTTCAGACTCAAAACGAGGCTAAGTGTCAACATCGCCGGATCGTTTGGAAAATTCGGATTAAATCACTTAATTTCCGCCGATTCTGATGATGACTTTAACTATGGAATAAAAAGAACATCCTATGATTTACTCGTGATATGATTTTAATCCACTCATGGATATTGATATCTGAACTCTCTCGCTACGCTCGCTGGTGCAGATATCATATCCATTCGTGGATAAAAATCATATCACTCATAAATCATAGGATATCTTCTATATAGACACCCTTGGTATACGCAAAATCATATGTTTACATTAAGTTATGATGCAGTTGGCATGGAGGTTACATCTCGAGAGTTTCAACGATGCACATTTGATTTTATAGAAAATCCAAAACTTGGTACCAAAGAATTTCCCACTTCCTGCAAAACAAGCTGAAATTCATGCGATTGTTCTGAACCGGCCCATTTTTGCTGCAAGCTTTGGATTTCAGGTGCATGCTATTGGCAAGACTATTAGTTCTCTAATGACGTTAACAGATTTTCGAGCAGCGCTCAAGTTTTGAATTACAATAACTGAACAAATGCTGTTTAGACTGATTTCCATTTTTTGCTGCAAGCATGAGAAAATTCTAAGTTTGGGATTTCAGGTGCATGCTATTTGCAAGACTATTAGCTTTCCAATGACGTTAACAGATTTTCGAGCAGCACTCGAGTTTTGAATTACAATAACTGAACAAATGCTGTTTAGACTGATTTCAATTTTTTCATAATCATCTACATGTTTCCAGAAGTTCAAATCTGACTTTATATTTAAGATTTGACCTTTAATGACCTTTTCAAGGTCAAAAAGGTCTTTTTTCATCTTGTTTCCAATGGACCAATTTTTTTTCAAATCATATACAAGTTATCAGAATGTATCAGATGCTGGCACACTTTTGCCGGAAGGTTGCAAGAAGTAACTTTTGGCAATGCAGTATGTTAGAGTAACCTAGTAGGTGTAAGAAAATATAAGGTGATGGGTTTTAAAGTGGTAAAAACAATTTTCACTGCCAAATTGGACTTCAATTCCTGTGATTTCAGGGGGTACTATAAGACAATTTCATAACATAAAGGGTATAGTTGCTATTGTTCTGTTTTCTACAGCACACATTACTAGTCCAAAGATGAATAATATCCTATAGTTATAGGCTGATATCTGTATTAGTCTCAGAAATATTGCAATTACATGTAATAGGAAAAAAATATGCAACTTTAGTCATTTTTAAGTCTCACCTATTTTATATATGTAGCTTCCAGCAAAAGATGGCAGCTTAAATAGCTCAAAATTGTTTTCTAAAAACTAATTCAAGCTTTGTTTGATATTGTTATACAATTATAATAATGATTATGTACTATTTATGATTTTTAATATGACTATAGTCCCCTACCCCTGGAAAGTGGGTGTGGTCAACGTTATCATTTTGCAGCATGCAGTTAAAAACTTGTATTGATAGAAAGCAAATCAGTGCATTTAAATCATCTTCACTTGTTACTTGACAATGTAATTCATTTATTACTAAAATATATGACTCTACATATTTTATATATACATTTTCAATTTTGTACAATATATCATAATGAAATCAAATAGGCTGTTTCATTTTCAGTGTTCACTAACACATGAAATGTAAGTCACAGTGTTTCCAAATTACCTTGGCAATGAGAAAGTACCACAATGACTACATTATATGAGCAGATTCAAGGTCCTAATAGTAATACTCACCGATCTATCGACATTCAAAAATAGAGAAAGCTGTCGTGAGTGCAGTTTTAACTAATTTTGAACTGAAACTTCTACTTAATGATTATTTTTCTCAACATCTGTGACTTTTTTGGACCCCAAACATAAGATACCAAGACAAAATGCTACCAAGTTCTGATATTGGAAGTTTCAGAGCTCTAGATCAAATATTCACTTCTGCATGTACTTTTAAAAAGACCCAAAAGGACAAAAAATCTGTCAGATATTGCGAAAAATATGAAAGATGCACTATTCAGAACAATTTATCTCTTAGATGTTACTTTTATTTGACATAATTTCTGATTCTGAATCCAGTTAGTACCACCAATAATACATATGAGAAGACTTTATGTCATACTAAGTGGAGTTACACATCTATTGGCTTTTGAAAATTGGAAAAGCTGTAGCAAGTATGATTTTCACCAGTTTTTCATCTAAGACTGCAACTTTCTGGATTTTCTTTTTACAAACTGAACCGTAAGACCAAAGGCATTAAAGGAAACCTGGTCATTGTATCACCAATAATAAGTAAAAATAACTAGAGTTTAAAGATTGCAAGCAATCTTACGGAGGCCCCGTAGGCTTTTTTGGTCCTTTTGGAGGTCAGCCAAAGGTCAGTTCTTAAAAACAAAGGCATATATGAACTCCAGGGAACTTGTAGATGATTTTTAAAAAGAAATTGGTCAATAGAAGCGAGTTGAAATTTAGTCTTGAAAAGTTTCGAAATTTGACTGTTTTTCAGTTTTTGAGTACTATTATCTCAAAACTGGTGGACAATTTTAATAAATAGTCAATGGATAATATGTGTAGAACCTTTAGAGGAATATATATTCGGACTATCATTAAAAAATATTTATTTGTAGTCACCAATTTTGAGAAACTTAGAAAACACAGTTTGTGATTTAGCTTGATGACCTTGACCCTTGATCTTGCAAATTTTTCTTTTTTAGTCCTCAGTATGTCTTTTGTGACTAAATTTATCTAAATTTAAATCCAGAAAATCGATTTGAAAAATCAACTTTTTTGACCTTTTGGAGGTCACTGAAAGTCACCTAAAGGTCAAAGGTCAAAAGTAAGGTCAGATTTGGAATACTGAGAACTTGTAGATGAGTTTAAAAAAAAAGTTTGGTCAAGTTAGATCAAGTTGAAATTTGACCTTGAAAAATTTCAAAATTTGACCTTTTTCAGTTTTTGAGTTCTAATATCTCAAAACTGGTGCATAATTTTAATAGATAATCAATAGCTAATATGTGTAGAACTTTTAGAGGAATATATATCGTGACTTTCATAAAAAAATATTGATTTGTAGTTACCAATTCTGAGAAACTTAGAAAACACAGTTCGTGATTTAGCTTGATGACCTTGAGCTTTGACTTTGCAAATTTTACTTTTTAGGCCTCAGTAGGCCTTTTGTGATTAAATATTTCTAAATTCAAATCGAGAAAATTGATTTGAAAAATGAAGGTCAAGCAAAAGTCAAAGGTCAAAAGTAAGGTCAGATTTGGAATCCTGAGAACTTGTAGATGTTTTTTTAAAAATAAGTTTGGTCAATTTAGATCAAGTTGAAATTTGACCTTGAAAAATTTCGAAATTTGACCTTTTTCAGTTTTTAAGCTCTAATATCTCAAAACTGGTGCAAAATTTTAATAGATAATCAATTGCTAATATGTGTAGAACCTTTAGAGGAATATACATCTGGAGTTTTATTTAAAAAATTTTGATTTGTAGTTACCAATTTTGAGAAACTTAGAAAACACAGTTTGTGATTTAATTCAATGACCTTGACCTTTGATCTTGCAAATTTTACTTTTTTGGACCTCTTATGGTATTTTGTGATTAAATGCACCTTAATTAGATTCCAGAAAATTGATTTGAAAAATCAACTTATTTGACCTTTCGGAGGTCACTGAAAGTCAAGTAAAGGTCAAAGGTCAAAAGTAAGGTCAGATTTGGAATCCTGACAATTTGTATATGAGTTTTAAAAAAATTGGTCAATTTGAAGCGTTGAAAAAATACCTTTTTTGACCTTCAATATCTCAAAATCTGGTCAAAATATGTCTAGACGGCAAAAGGCTAACACTAATAGAATAATAATATCTATCTGCATGCAAAAATTCAGGCAAAAATATTGAAGTGTAGTGTCAGGATTTGAGAAACTGGAAAAAAGCTTTGATTTGACCTTGATTTTGACCTTTGACCTTGTTTTGACCTTTGACCTTGATTTTGACCTTGACCTAGATAAAAAGTTCTTTCCCGCCAAGTTCAGCCAAGGTCCCTGGTAGGTGCATGTAGGAGATGGTTGAAAGGTAGTTGGAAATAGGAGGAAAGGGTTTAGGAAGAATAAATAAATAAAGAACTAGACTTTTTAAGATTGCAAGCAATCTCACAGAGGCCCTCATAGGCATTTTTGACAATTTGAAGGTCAACTAAAGGACAAATATCAAATCTGAGGTCAGATGTGAACTCCTGAGAACTTGTAGATGAATTTCAAAAAAAGATTTTGTCAATTTGTAGCGAGTTTAAATTTGACCTTGAAAAATTTTGAAATTGACCCTGAAAAATTTCGAAATTGACCTTTTTTCAACTTTTGAACTCTTATATCTCAAACTGGGACAAAATTCTATTAGATAGTCAATTGCTAATATGTGTAGAACCCTTAGAGGAATGTGTATATTTCGACTTCGGGTTAAAAATATTGGTTTGTAGTCTCGAACTTATACGAAACTTAGATAGCACAGTTTGTGACCCAATTTTATGATCTTGACCTTTGACCTTGAAAAGTTTTACCCTTTTAGACCTCAGTAGGTCTTTTTTAATCAGGCTGATCTAAATTTGAATCCAAAGACTCAATTTGAAAAATCAACTTTTCTTACCTTTCGAAGGTCATTGAAGGTCAAAGGTCAAATATGAGGTCAAATTCAGACTCCTGGGAACTTGTAGATGATTTAAAAAAAAATTGGTTGGATTGAAGCAAGTTGAAAAATGACCAAATATCTCAAAAATGGTAAAAATTCAATGCTGACATATAGTGAACAATTTGTAGAAAATACTAAAATGTAGTTTCAGTTTAATTCATCGCAAGAAATAATGAAGTATAAGGACAAAGTTGAGAAACTTGAAAAAAATTTAGATTTGGCCTAGATTTTGACCTTTGACCTAATTTGATAATTGTGACCCTTGAGCTTGAAAATTTTACTGTTTTAGAGCTCAGTGGGTCTTTTATGATTAGGGTTACCCTAAATTTGAATCCAAAAACTGAATTTGAAAAATCAACTTTTCTGACCTTTCAAAGGTCACTGAAGGTCAACTAAAGGTCAAATGTCAAATCTGAGGTTAAATATGAGCTCCTGAGAAGTTGTAGATGATTTTAAAAAAAAAGTTGGGTGAATTTGAAGCAAGTTAAAATTTGACCTTATAAACTTTGAAAAATTGACCTTTTTCAGTTTTTGAGCTCTTATATCTCAAAACTGGGACAAAATTTTAATAAATAGTTAATGACTAATATGTGTAGAACCCTTAGAGAAATGTATATCTTGACTTTCAATTAAAAATATTGATTTGTAGTCTTGAACTATGAGAAACTTAGATAGCACGTTTGTGACATAATTTGATGACCTTGACCTTAGACCAAAGAAATTTTTACTTTTTTAGACCTCAGTAGGCTTTTAGTAATTAGACTGACCTAAATTTGAATCCAAAGACTCAATTTGAAAAATCAGCTTTTCTGACCTTTCTAAGGTCACTGAAGGTCAACTAAAGGTCAAAGGTCAGATTTGGACTCCTGGGAATTTGTAGATGATTTTTAAAAAAAGATTTGGTCAGATTGAAGCAAGTTGAAAAATGACCTTTTTTGACCGTTTTTTGATGTCAAATATCTCAAAAACAGTAAAAATTTAAAGCTGACATATAGTGAACAATTTGTAGAGAATACTTAAATGTATTTTCAGTTTAATTCATCGCAAGAAATAATGAAGTATAATGACAAACTTGAGAAACTTGAAAAAAAACTTAGATTTGACCTAGATTTTGACCTTTGACCTTGACCTAGATAAAAAATATTTTCCCCCCTATTCCAGCCAAGGTTCCTAGTAGGATCATATAGTAGGTAGTTGAAAGCTAGTTGGAAGTAGGAGAAAAATGCTTTGAAAGAATAACTAGACTTTGGAAATTGAACAAGTTCAATTTCAGACTCCAGATTTAGACCTTTTTTTAGCCGAGTCATCCAGAATAAGCCAAGTCATCTAGAATAAGCTGAGTCATCCAGAAAAAGATGGATGGATAAAATAGGAAGGTAGGATAGGACAGAAAAGGAAGGAACGATAGGATAGAATAAGAAAGAAGGATAGGATAGAACAGAATAGGAAGAAAGGATATGATAGGAAGGATAGGAAGGAAAAGATACGAAGGAAGGATAGGAAGGAAGGATAGGATAGGATAAGATCAGATAGGAAGGAAGGATGAATTTTTCAACATTTTCTTCTCTACTCTTGACTTTCTATCAGGATACCATCAGATCGATTTTCCGAAATTTCAAAACGCCATAACTTCCGAACCGTAAGTCGGATCGAAATTTGATTTAAATTTTTTATTATACATGTACTTCAGAGAGTAATAGAGCGGTTTTGTTCATATTTGATATGTGAATACTCGTAAGGATTGCATATGTCTTATGACATTTTGGGTAGTAGGTGGCCATTTTAAAAAATGGCCAGCATTTACATGTATGTGTGTGCGATTTTCTAAGAATTTTATATGTGGCTACCTAAAAGCATATTACTGCCATATAAACCCTATTACATAAAATCATCTAACTTAAATTCACTTAAGTTACTGAGCAAAGTGTGTCAATAGGAAATATGTACTATAATATATGCCATTTACACTTAGGGTATTCAGTTCAAACAAAGAGAAATACTTGAATGAAATATGTACGAGTAAAAAATTTAGGCTAAACTGTCTAGGGGGTGAAACGTCTAAGGGGTGGAATGTCTAAGGGATGAAACGTCTAAGGAATGAAATGTCTAAGGGGTGAAATGTCTAGGGGGTGAAATGTCTAGGGGGTGAAGTGTCCAGGGAGTGAAATGTCTAAGGGATGAAATGTCTAGGGGTGAAACGGGGGAGAAATGTCCAGGGGGTGAAATGCCCAGGGGGTGAAACGTCTAAAAGGTGAACAGTCTAGGGGTGAAACGTCCAGGCGGTGAAATGTCTAGAAAGTGTGTTTGATAACTTATTTTGCATTTAAGCATGGTTAGTTGGGGCTATTCTTGCACAATTTTTATTTGACCCGGATACCTTGATTTCGGGTTACTATGGCAACCTTTTCTTAAATAATATTTCTGTTGTACCAAATAATCTTTGATAGATTAATACAGCATTCTATACTACATATTCTGTGAAAAATTCATCATATATCAAAAAATAAAGAATAATAGAGATTTTATGAGAACTTGATGGATGTAAGCGGAAGTACCATTCAACTCCTAGTTATTTGTTCTTTCATTTCCTCTACATCCCTGATAGGCTGAGTATCTAAATATACCAACTATTCTAGATGCCCCCAAGTATTATAATCAACAATTAAATGATTGGCATCTGGACTGTAAGGAAGTCATTTGTCTGGGCTGGTAATGGTGTCATTTCAAGTCTCCAAAAAATCCAGGATAGCATTGAACCTGTGTGATAGAGCACTGTCCTATCGGAAAATGAATTTTCTTTCAAATGTTTTTATGTCCCCACCACATAGTGTGGGGCCATATTGTCGGCCTCGCGTCCGTCTGTCTGTCCATCTGTCCGTCCGTCTGTCTGCCTGTACGTCCGGCAGTTTTCTTCAAAACTGCTCGAGATATCACCTTCAAATTTTCAGGGATAACTTATGAGTGCATACAGTTGTGGATGAGAATTTTTTAACTCGATACTTTCTTCCTGTTGACCATTTTGAAGTCAAATGCTAAAATCTGGAAACTAAAAGAAAAATGGCTTCACAGCTGCTTTTAAAACTTTAACATCTTGTTCAGCTAACTTCATTCTACATCTGATTAGGTTTTGGACCTGTTAGCTCAGTCATGGCAGCCATTTTGAATGTCTTAAGAAAAGTTAGCTCACGATAATACTTTGTATCATATTGAATGGTATTTTTGAGTTTTTATACTTGAACTGTTTTGGATTTTCCATCCTAAAATTGTGTCAGTAAAGTCTTGTCTACTCATTTTCAGGATAACCATTTGAAGGGATCACCCATTGGTGGGAACATGTTGTACACATTTGTGTTCTTGTTATATCTTGAGGAGTCCCTTTTAACACTTCATTTCAGTAATACTCCGACAACAGGGTCACTCTTTCATTTTTTGGAAAAACTAAGCTACACCACTACATATTCAGAAAAATGTCATTTTGATTTGAGTTGCTTTTTTAGCAAATGTCACTATTTTGCTTACTGATACATAGAGCCTAATCTGTTGATCATCATACTTGGGAGCATCTAGAACAGTTGGTCTATGAAGATCCCTAACAGATGTAGACGAACTGAAAGAACAAATAATTAGGAGTTGGGTGATACTTCCACAGATGTCCATCAATTGTGCCATCAACCAATGGCTTCCTCATCTTTAACAGGGTTCGTACACACTTGGAAATGTCAGGGGAATTGATTTATTTTTCCAGGTGCTGGGAATGTCAGGGAAATTTAAAATTTGGTCAAAAAGGGCCACAAATGTCAGGGAATTTTGAAACAGTAGATATGTCAGGGAAATGTCAGGGAATTTTGCATCAGTGTTGAGGAAATAATGTTCCAGCAAAATACATGACAGGATATCGATGAAATCCAAAATCTAACATTTAGTTGTTTCCACAAATTTGAAATCTTTTCATCAGGGTTGATTGAATGAAATCCTATCTGGTATTGCCTATTTGTATGAACAGTGAACATTATTGAAACAAAACAATAAAGAATATACATATTGTGTAGAGATGGTTTAATACAATTATATGCTTTTCCATGTAGTTAGTTAGTCTTAGGCCATTCAAAGTTAACTACCAGTATATGTTTCATGTTTTGTTTAGTGTTTAATCTGAGGAGGGTGGGAGGTGAAAAACAAAAAAATTCTGGGAACTTTTCAGTGTAAAAAGTATATTTATATTCAGTTGTCATTTGGATTCATGAAAACATCAACAAATTATACCTTGAAATGCTTAGAATGCACCATAAACAATATGGAAATTGAAAAAAATCCGGGGATGAACCCCCGTACCCCCCTTTTGGGTTTCACTTTGCTCACAGTGATGTAAACCCAGAAAAATGCACCCTTGACATTTGCTAGCTAGGCCCTTGTACATGCATGTTTACTTTGGTCTTAAGCAATGTTAAATCAAAAAATAATGTATCAGGAATAAATTGGTGAATAAGACGGCCTGTAGAAGTAATGTTGAGTCATGAGAAGTGGTACTATGGATGGATGCAAGTTTTAACTAAATGGTAAAATAATTGGGTAGAAATAGGCTAATATTCGCAAAATGGATTCAAATTAAGAATGTGTTTTTTTACCCCCATGCTGGCTATATCTCAAGCCGGGGTTGTTGAAAAATGTTCCTTTATCATTGTTGGAGCTTTTGTGAAAAAATGAATATTTATCAGGAATATTAGCTTGGGGGCCCACCCTGTAGATATTTTTATATGTAAATGCCATGCAGTAGATTCTTTAATTTTTTAACTCTTACTAGTATTCATTTTAGAATTTTTTGAAGACGGAAATAAGTAGAAGAGATACATCTCACTGGACTGGTGCAACAGATGAGGGAGATGATGGTAACTGGCGATGGATTGATGGAAGCCCATGGGACCCTGAAATTGGGTAAGTAATGTTTTGGAATTCACATTCTATTGGCCATAACATTGTCTTTCAAGAGAATTGTATGCAACTTCAAATTATCCGAACGTGAACATTGCCAGGATTCCCAGTAGGATATGAGATGAGCTATGATAGTGTCTCATTCGATAACCAATTTCATAAACATGCTTTATTTTCCATTGAAATCTCAGAATGTTCCCTGTTTTTTATTGTGGTTATTCTCTGCAAATTTGGATAGCGTAACTTGCAAGCAGTTGGATCTATAGGGCATGAAAAAATCTCAAGCAAAGTTAAATATACTATCTCCCTCAAAGATCCAGGATATAGCCTTTTATGAATTGGAGGAATTATTAAGGATTCAAAGTGCAAAAGCGGAAAAAAATCTCCCAAATAACAAAAACGTTAACCATTTTAGAAAAATTATTTTATTTACTTATATAAATAGGTGTACATGGGGTCATGAGGTCATAAGTTAAATACAAGAGAGTATATTCAAGAGCTTATCACCATTTTGGCATTATAAGCACTCTAGCGGTGAAAAGTTGGAGAGGGGAGGAAGGGTATGGGGGGTCTGACAATGTCAACAATGTAATTAATCTTTGCATGACAAGGCAGGCTACAATAGGTTCTAGAATAGTCGTGTTCAATATGGAGTTTCGGGTCGACCACAAGAACAGTTAGGAGAACTGATTAAAATGTAATTGTGAGCAAAGAGTTGAGCCCTGAAGAGCAGGTCTTCTCGTAACCTATTAATACATGTTTCTTCATTTCTTGAAATATTGAGCTTTGAGGTTGGGATTATGTTTATGTCAAGGTTGAGAAGGTGTTTACGATGGTTGTTCTTAATTAAAGGTTATGAAGGTATTATTTGTTTGAATATTCTTTCAATTCAATTCAATTTAGTTAGTTAGTTAGTTAGTTACATACTTTATTGTCAAACTATGATACATAAATAATACATCAACTGACACTTTAACAAGTGTATGAAGTTGTTTTAGTGACAAAAATGAAAATTCAATAATAACTATACATATTGATAGCATATGTATGCATCTAACTTATGGCTAGTGGTGGTGGGTTGTGGCTGCCAATGTGTGTTAACTCTATTTCGGTTTAGGAAAATGTATGGATGGAAAGGTAGATGAGGTGACAATATATAATTATATTTCAGCAATTAAGTTTTTCTTTCTAGTCATTTTAAATTGAAGTAAAGAAGGCAAAAACCTGACATGATCTGAGATAGAATTCCAGATTCTTGGACCCTGTACTTTGATTGAATATAACCCTATTTTTGTTTTGTAAGCCCTAGCATGTAAATCATGACTTCTTCTGGTAGGATAATTGTGAAATATTCATTTTGATTAAAATAATCATTATATAGTTTTGCATAAACAGGTTCTTGGTAAATACAACAATAGACAAAATTTGAAACATTAAATTCATACACCTGGTTTACAGGTAAAATGTTGTACTTTTTAAAGAGAGGTGCTGAATGTGCCATTCTTGGCTGGTTGTCTAATATTCGAAGGAATCTCTTTTGAAATAGAAGTAGGGAATGCAGCTCATTTGTATGAGCATTGCTATGGCCACCCCAGATTAAATTACAGTAATTTATATGTGAGTATATCAGGGAGTTATAGATTGCCAAAAGACTTGTTTTATTCAATAGGTGGCGAATCTTATATAAGAGACCAATTGTTCTGGATATTTTTGCTTCTATATGTTTAATATGTTCTTTCCAGGTAATATGTTCATCAACAATGACACCTAAAAAGTTGATAGATTTTACTCTTTCAATTTCTTTCCCGGACATATCAATTTTAATATCTCTAAAGATTTGTCGTTTCTGTTTATTGAACAAGATAAATTTTGTTTTAGAATAGTTTATTGACAATTTATTTGATTTGAACCAATCGTCCATAAGATTAAGTTCATTATTTACCTTTTCTATTAGAGATTTCAAATCTTTATCTGAGGCCAACAAATTAGTGTCGTCGGCAAATATTACGCTTTTAAGAATATTGGAAACCTTAAACATGTCATTTACATATAATATGAATAATGTCGGCCCAAGGACTGAGCCCTGGGGCACACCGCATGATATACTTTGTAAATCAGAGTCAATATTGTTATATGATACAATTTGCTTTCGATCTTTTAGATATGATTTAAAAAGAGATAGTTCAGACCCTTGAATTCCATAAAAATTTAATTTATCTAGAAGGATATTATGATTAATGGTGTCAAAGGCTTTAGACAAGTCTAAAAAATACCAAGTGAATATTCATTGTTCTCCAGCGAATGTCGTATGTTTTCAACAAAAGTTAAGATTGCCATAAAGGTAGAGACATTTTTCTGAAAGCCATACTGATGTATATATAATATTTCATTTTCTGTGATAAAATTACAAAGCCTAAAGTTAATGAGTTTTTCTAGGAGTTTAGAAAAAACTGGCAAGACTGAAATCGGTCTATAGTTTAAGAAATTGTCTTTTTGACCTTTTTTGGAGATTGGTGTTATCTTAGCTATTTTGAGTTTATCTGGGAAAATTCCCTGTTGAAAGGATTTATTGAATATCAAAAGTAAAGGCTGTATAAGTTCATTTTTTGCATGTTTTACAATAATCGGTTTAATATTATCAAGAGATGCTGCCTTATCTTTCAAAGTTTGTATCAATAATGACAATTCTGTTTCATCAACTGGCGTTAAGTGAAATCTATTTTCAAAATGTCCCATATTACTAATATATTCATTTGGTGTTCTGTTTGACTCTGGAATTTTAGAGCTTAATTTTAATCCAATTGATGAAAAGAATGAGTTGAATTTATTGGCAATCAACTTTTTATCATTAACTGCAATACCATCGACCAGAAATTCGTTTTGAACCACTGTATGAAGTCTTTTTCTATTTAAAATGTCAGAGATAATATTCCAGGTTTGTTTAATATTTCCAGATGCAGTTTCAAATTGATTCCGATAGTGGGTTTTTTCTACAGCTCTCAAATAGCTCTGAACCTTGCTTTATACATTTTATAGTTTCTTTCATTTTCTTCACTAGGGGTCTTCACAAATTTACGATAAAGATTATTTTTTTGCTTGGCTGATGTGATAATCCCATTTGTAATCCATGGCTTAGAAGTATCAACAAAAAGTTTTACTTTCTTTAATTTAAGAGGAAAGGATTCATTGTATATGTTTTGAAAAATATCTGAAAATATTTCGAAGCAATCATTTACATCATCTGTAGTTTGCAAAATATCCCAATTTAAAACACTCAACTTTTGTTTAAAATTTCCAATACTCCGCTTATCAAAAATTCTATATGAAATTTCTTTGCTTTTGGACTTCCTCAATACAGTACTAGTTAATGCAAATACAGGAAAATGATCAGATATGTCCATAATTATTACATCACCATGCTTTATGTTATTTATATTAGTAAAAATATTATCAATTAGTGTAGCAGAGTGGGATGTTACTCTAGTAGGACGGTAAATAAGGGGATGGTGGTTAAATGAATAAAGCAAGTTCAAGAAGTCTTTAGTGGGGTCATGTAATTCATGCTTAAAAAGGTCAATGTTGAAATCCCCAGCCAAAACTGATAACTTCTTAGACTCGTCTACTTTAGACATGAAAGCCTTTAAGTTGATATTGAATTCATTTATGTCTATTTGTGGTGGTTTATAAATGGCAGTAATTAAAATGTTTTTTGAAGAATTATTTAATATTTCTACTGATAGGGAATCACAATTAACATCATCAAACTTTAGATCTGATCTTGACTTGACATTAATATTTTTAAGGTAAAAATAGCTACACCACCACCTTGTTTGTCTTTCCTAGAACGATAAAAAGCATTGTAGTTTGAAAATAGTGGATTGTATATACTTTCTGTACCATCTTGCAGCCATGTTTCAGATAAGACAATCACTTTCGGTAAGTTTTTAGCCATTTGAGCAAGAAATAATCTTAATATCATTTACTTTACTGGGAAGGCTACGAGTGTTGAAGTGAATTATAGAGAAATCATGATTTGCATTTGTATTTAATATTGATTCAAGTTGGTTTAATGTTCTATAATTGCAATTTAAAATCCCTTCATTCACATTGTCATTGAATAAAGTATTTGCTTCTTTAGCAATTGTTAAGTTTTCTAATGTTGGATTGAAGATTCTATTTTCAAACATTTCCATCAAATTTCCACGGGGGACAATTTCAAGAAATTGATTATCATCAATTACATCAAAAAATGGCAATTCCTTCCATACATCAGCATTTGACTCAGACATAAGAGGATATATACACAAAGTTCATCCACAACTCACCACCACGTAGAACCAAAAGTGTATTAGTGATCATAGGCAATAGTGAATTTCTAGCTCCTGAGAAATTTTCAAATCGTAATTGCTATAATATAATATGTAATATGTGACAGGTTTTAATATAGTTTATATTCTTACTGATATCAAACCATGCACGAATAATTTTATGATAGAAAAGTGATTATATACAAGATTTAATTTCCCTCTCCCAAAATCATTATTTTGAAAGAAACATGACTATTTGATACCTTACATTTTAGGCAAGGGTCATTAATAAAGCCCAATATTCAGATCACACTTCCATATAAGGCCCTAACAACCAATTTGTCTGTTTACCAAATTCACTCAAAGAAAGAAAAAAACTCTGAACATCCATCAATATTACAATATGAACAATAATTTGAATTCATGTAGAAATGAGAAAAATACAGTCTTTCCTATAACAATATCACAGACAATTTAATTGTAAGGTCCTTGTAAAGACACTTTATTATCAAGTTGTAAGGGTTCTCAGGAATTCACTGTGATTCATTTTCACAAAAAAAAACAAAACAAAAACCACTCAACATGTGACAGGTTTAAATATAGTTTATATCATTACTGATATCAAACCATGCATGAATAATTTTATGATAGAAAAGTGATTATATATAAAATTTAATTTCCCTCTCCCAAAATCAT